AGTGATCTATCCGGGTTCGATGATGAACCGTGAGTCGGTACCGCATTTCATGTGTCGAGTTGCATGTGTTGCATAGTCATGTGTATGTTGCAATGGTGTGGGGCCGTAGGTCCGAGATGATGCGTGTGAATTATGTTGTGTGTTTACTTCCTTCATATTCATGTTTACCGTTACCTTTATGTTTTGTTCGTAATTTCTCACCCCTTTGCCTTGATGTGGTCTGTGCATCTTCGGAAGTACAGAGATTTCAGGTGATAGCTAGTTTGTTATGTGGCGAGTCGTAGGGATTCTCTGATACATAACACCGGGGCTTTTGGGAGTTCTTTGTCTTATGATGTTTCTAGTGCCTTTGTGGCGTATCTTGTTGATGATATGTTTTGGTGGATCTTTTGATGTGTGGTTGTACATGATGTATGTTTTGGACAGATAGTCGATGTTGATGTACCTGACTTGTATATGATGTTGATCTATCTCTCTCTCTCTCTCTCTCTCTCTCTCTCTCTCTCTCTATATATATATATATATATATATATATATATATATATATATATATATATATATATATATATATATATATATATATATATATATATATATATATATATATATATATATATATATATATATATATATATATATATATATATATATATATATATATATATATATATATATATATATATATATATATATATATATATATATATATATATATATATATATATGACGATGGTGATTTTCCGCTGCTTATATGTGGTTAAATTCTTTAATGAAAATGTTTCGATTGGTTCTCTTTTGTGACATCCCGTGTGTGATTGTGAAACTCTGCTGTTTGTCTATCTTGAATATTTTTTTTTTAATTAATTGCACTTATTTTATTTTTGGGAGCGGGGTGTTACACTAATTACTACCACGTTATTACCATTCTCTTCTCGAAAGTGTGAAGGTAATGTTTTTAATTTCAGTTTAAAGTTTTCTAACTTGGATAATTCTCCTAATTTTTCAATTTGGATTTGATTAGGAGGAATTTTCTTTGGGGTATCTTGTTCTTTCAAACTATCTTTAACCTTTTGATCCTCTATTTTACCAAGCATTATATAAGTTACTAATTCTTTTTCTATAAGAGACGGGTTATGATGTTGTTTTTAAACCTCTCTTATAACTTCCCGGTGTCATATATGTGAAAACAAATTGTTATATCCTTAGAATATTTCATAGCTTCTGTCATACCCTAATTTTTACCCCTAAGATTTCACTTATCATATCATTTGCATCTCATCAAAATCACAAGCATGGTGTCCTTCTAACCTCATATCTTTGGGTTTGCCTTTGGAGAGAGATCATCAAGCACCTTTGTGTTTTCTTTGCTTACTTAACATTTCTAATCTTATCCAAAATACAAAAATATATGTTGTTTTCTCTTCCTTATTGTACAAGGTAGAGACTTGCAATCAAAGGATCAAGTTGGGTTTCTAAATTAGAGTTTAGATACTCAAAGTCAAATTTTGGTCAACAAATGGTTCACAAGATCTCCCATCTCAATGCATGGCCTATAACCTTAGGTCATATACATTTCAAGCTTCATCCAACATCATGAGATCAAAAGAAGTTCAAGATTGATACATGATTTCAATGTTGGTTCAAGTATGGATCATGTGTTTATTTCCATACTACCTCCATCCAATTCTCAAGCAAGCATCAAAAATATTCAAAGGGACAATCAAGTTTCCCTCATTTGGTGTCCAAGTGTTCATTACTGGGCCTTTGGATGCAAGAAATGGTAAGAAACCTCAAGTTGGCACATGTTTAGTTGGCCTAAAATCAAGTGTTGCATGTCACTTGGTCCAAACACCATAACTTTTTCATTTTTCAACATTTTTGGAATCTACTTGAGCCAAATGTCACATTTGAACTACTCTACAAATTTGTTTCAAGGGAAAAATATTAATTCAAACTCTAAGTCCATCAATTTTTGGATTTGCTCAGTTGCTCATGTGTGCACAAAAATAGGCCCAATACCTGGTCGACCTAATGTCTGACCTAGAATTTCAAGTCACTACCCCAACAAAATCGTGTAAATTGGTATAGAATTGAGTGTTATACTGATGCTAAATGTTGATAATAATTTTTTGAAACGAGACCCAGATTGAACCTAGCTGCAACTTCAACATTGTATTCACAACATCCTAACTTTGGCATAAATCTCCCCGACTGGTAGTCAACATGCTTTTAGTCTCCAATAAGCAGACTTCACCCTAAAAATCATAATTATAAATATATGTTAAATTATGTTTAGTAATGTAATAACATCAAAATGATATTTTTTTTATCTGTTCGTTGTAGTGTTCCCTAAATGAGTGACTTTGTTAGTCCAAGCAACAAGAAATCTTTCTTTATAAGGTGTCAACCATGTTTCCCTCACATACTTAATAAATAAAGGAATATCAACACAAACAGTCTCAAAGTGCTTCAAGTGTTCGACAAACTCAATTTTTCTATTAGCATAAATGATGTTGTGTCATAGATCCATGACATGTTCTTGTCTTTCTGACTTAACATACTTTTTACACTTCATACTAACTTTTTTTTCAAATATGGAACGAACATAACAGATGAGTTGAATTTAAAAACACAACTTCCATGACATTCATCAATGCAAGCTCCCAGCCCATCACCACAACCTTCGATAGAAAATTCTCGAAAGAGACAACTCTTTGAGCTTCTCTAGTTCCCATTTGAAGTTTTCCTCCCTTTCATGTTCCAAATAGGTAAAGCCTATCGAAAACATCAATTTTGTTGGCGTAACACCAATAATCTTGAGCAATGGTAGTCGGTAACAACATTTGCATTTCCGTCAATGAACCTCTTTTGCCCGCATTATATGTAGCTCTAGCTTTTTACACCTGGGTAACACTTGTGAGGTTTTTTGAATATTTTTCTTTCAAAGCAGCAACTGTGTACCGTGGAGTTATGTTGTACTTCGTCATGTCATTCACAAATTGGCTTTCATGAACTTTTAGACGACCCAATATGTCATGGCCTTCTATACCCTTATATAGTTATGATTGTGCAACACACACCTAACTATCACCTTCCAAGCGCTACCACTTGTCACAGATCTCAGCCTAAAGGGATATTTCAGGTTCATACTATAAATCCCCTATGAGGATTTATTGCTTTTAGATGCATTCTTCCTTTTGTAGTTTCCTCCTCTCTTTTACAACCCATAATCAATTTATCTTTCGTACCTCACTTCTCATTTGCACTATCAGAATGAACAGTCACAATAATAATACCATATTGTTTACCAATAGTTTGTGTTCATGCTAATACATCATATTAGGACTCAAATATTTATCATTTACAACATGTAAAAAGTATACTATCAATATCATATAGAGGTGGAAAAACATTTAAATTAAACTTGTTACATAGAAAATATATTGCGTTAGTGGTGAAGAACTACGTAAAATCTGTACGCGAATCTGGACTACACAAGTAAAGCATTTTCTGCACTGCTACCGGAAATTTCGAGTATGGGCGAAATTTCCGGTATATCGGAAATTTTTGAAATTTTCGATATACCTAAAAATTTTAACTTTTTGAAAGTTTTTTTGTTTTCCAAAATTTTCATTAATTTTCAATATGGGTTTGGAATTTTTTAAAAAAATATCGTAATTTTTAAAAATTCTAGTATTTCTTCATCGAAAGTTTACAAAATTTCAGTAAAATACGAGATTTTTCAAAATATGCAAAAAGAAAATGTGTATTAAGAATTTCATTTACGCTACTGAAAATTTTCAATTTTAGGATGATAGTAAAAGTGAAATTTTTTGAAAAAAATAAATTTTGATTGATAAATAATAACATAAACAATTTCAAAAATATGAAAATACAGTTGAGGGTGACAAGTTAAATACTCACTTCGAGTTAATGTTATTTTACTAACCAAGGAGTTAACTACTTGGCACGAATGCATTTTAATGTTAGTTAACTACTACGGTTAATGATGCACAGTTCTTGTAGACAAACATTTATAAATTAGCGATAATGTTAGTTTTTAATTAAAATCCACATCCTACATCTTCATTCTAAAAGTCTTTTAATATTATTTTACTCACCAAGAGAGTTAACTACTTGGCACGAATGCATTTTAATGTTATTTGGAACAAATGAAGATTCAACGAAGTTTCTGAGGCATGCATTCACGCAAATACAAATAAACACAAATTCACTGTCGTCGCTGATGCACCAGCCGATTATCTTCAATGTGAATGTGCCATTTTATCGGAAAAATTGGAAGCAATCACTTTTCCGTGACAGTTCAATCCTGCCAGTTGAGCGTTTTCTCGGTCTTTTTAGATTAAAGTTCATTTTAGCCCTACCTAAACTGGCATAAAAATGTGACAGTTGATCATTTTCCCTGTCTTTTTGTTTGGCATAATCTAAACGACAAAGTAGGATCAGAAGGCTTACGCACCCTGGACGACGATATGAGTTCGCTTCACACCTTGCGCAGCTTTCAGGAAAATGTTAGCTTCAAAAAATGTTACTTTTTGAATTATATACTCTTTACAACTCATTCAAAGATAAAAACTAGGTAATCTTATTCATTCCTTATTTCAAACAATCAACAATAATTAACAATATGCTCTAATTGAGATTAATTGGTATTATTACCAAGCAGTCTTCTTTGGAATCTGCAAGAGAAAACAATGCACATCAATCTATTATATGACAAATATGATACGGTCTAAGGTCCATAATATATCAAATATGTATGTAAGCATAGTTGCATCCAATCTATGAAAATTTCAAAATCAAACTACGGATAACAACATGTAAGCTACCTGCTTAAATAACAGTAAGTTTACTCAATCCACAATGCAGTTTTTAGACCTTAGAATTTACAACTGTGAACTCATTTAAGCAAGCATGTAACACTAAAACAGCAGTTAAAACAAAGAGAGAACAGTTTTTTCTAGATACATTGTTAACCCTCATGTACTCCTTGGGTCGAAGGCTTCCAACTGACTCCGAAGATTCTGATTGTCTTCCAAGAGACGATCATATTCCATAAGGAACCCCTCCGATTGTTTTTTAAGAGCCTCTACTTCCGATTCCAAAGTCTTTTCCTTATTTCCTTTCGCATCACATTCAGATTCCAGCTTCTTAATTTTAGACTTCAATGTGGTAACTTCTTCCGTCAATGCTTTTTGCTCCTCGGTGTTTCCGTTTTTACCATCCTCAAAACTTCGGGTTTGTTTCTTAACTGCTTCCATGGTCTTCCTGAGTAACCGGAGCTCTCTTATGTAGTGATGCAATCTATCAATCATAAGAGATAGGAACAGCACAAAACCTGCACACAATCAATGTGAAAAATCAAGTTCAAGAACTAAAAAAACATCTATAAGAAATGAAAAAGAATTGATAAATATAGCTAATGCAAAGAAGCATTCAACTAACAACACTCATGACATATAGATGAAGGTTGAGCAATAAAATGCCGATAAGAACATAATCTGAGTGTATCTGAGATGAAAATTTGGTAAGACGTGTAAGAAAAATGAGATTAAAATGATAGAATTTCACTTAAGATGGTTAGGCCATACAATCAGAATACCTACGGAAGTTGATCATATGGAAGATGGCCCGATCATCAGGGAAACAATTGGGTGCAGTAATTGTATGACTGAGTTACAAATCTCAACCTTCAAATATAAATCATGGTCAAGACCAGCTTAAATTGATTTAATAGATGTGTAATCTTTACCAAGTCTGAACTCAAATCAATTGCTAAGATTGATTATTGCATTAAACTGCATGGAATCATTACTCCACGTGATCCAAGTCACAATAATTAGAGGTAGATGAAGAACAAGGAAAACTCTTAAGAGGAGCCATTAAAAACTTAGATCTAAATGATTATTGCTTTCCAAGTTCCAACAAAACATATAAGTGCTGTTCATTAGTGCTGTCGATGGCAGATGGCGGTCCATGGCGGAGAGCCAAAATTCCGCCATAACGTCCGCTTTGCGGCGCCGCTATACCGGATTATGGCGGAAAAACCTGCGATGTCACCGATATTTACCATTGCGGGGAGCCCAAAAACCGCCATGTATATCTGCCATAGCAGCCATGGCAACACCATTTGATAACGCTGCTGTTTATATCATGTATGCAACTCAACTAGTGGGATATAGTTCTTGTTGTTTTTAGTATTTATGCCAAGGAAACAAATAAATGCCAATCAAGCTAATCAATTATAAGAGCATATCACCAAATAGAGATGATATATAACAAAGTAGATGAAAATAAGTTGCAGAAACATTAACTGATACGTCTTGGAAAGCCATGAAGAAACTTTAAAACATAGACTTGCACAATATGAAAGTAAGCTAAAGGCAGCAATATTAAGATGGATTGCATAGTTTGGGAAAAAAACAAGGATAGTGAAGTCAACAAATTCTAAATTATTTTGTAATCCCTTCCAAACCCATCCAATTTCGGAGGATATGAAAATAGGAGGAGAGAGGCGTTTTTGCCCCTTATTTTCCCTCACTTCCCCTGCAAACTTTAGAATCAAACACCCCTTCATCCAAACAGATATTATAACGTTTAAAGGTTACACAAGCATAGCCAATTAACAATAAAACAACCATTGCATGATTACATAAAAACAGGAAAGATTAATGGAATAGGCGTAGGCGAAGATATTGATTATCTCAAACATTCAAACTTAAAGTAATCAACTACCTATATGCAGCACACTGATGAGTGATGACCATTATTTCAGTGACAGTGGCTCAAATCAAACACGCACATAATCACATCCCTTTTCTAAGAAAACCTCAACCACTCCCGACCAAAACAAAAATACAGAAACATGAAAGTTTGAAACAAGCCACAATATATTGAATCAGTTGAAGTTAAATCAGATACCAACTAAACAAAGCCTTGTTTATTGGATGTCATAAAAGTCAGACAAATGTAGAAAACCAAATAGCATTGAATGAAAAGGTTCATTACTCTCTTGTATGGAGCTTCTATCAAAGGAAATAAACATTAACTAGCAATGCATAAAACACCACCTTTCTCAATTCATCTTCCACTGTGATCATAATCACATACATCATTTTTTTATTATGTTATCCACAAAAATGCATAAATTACTTGACCCACAAATCAAATCATAGCCAACACTATCAACCTAATCATCCCATCGAGGAAATCTACCTTTTAAAACTACAACCATAAGAAAAAGACTAAATATGTTCTTAGTTCTCATAAAATTTTCATCTTACTAGTGCAGATTTATAATTTCAACGAACTGAAAAGTAGGTATATAGAAACTAAGTGTGTGTTTGGTTCTGCAGTGAAAAAAATGATTTTGAATGAACTAATTCTGTAAAATTGAATTTGTCTAAAAATGAGTTGAAGATAAAGTGATTTGTTCGGATAAATTCCTAAAAAAAGTGAGTTGAACAGTAAATTTCAGTATAAAAATCATATTTAAACTCAAAACCTATTAATCTTAGCCCAAGTAGAATCAACTTCAGCACAAAAGTGAATCAATTATGTAAAGATGAATCAATTCTAGAAAGTATAATCAATTCTACTCAAGAGCAATCAAACATGTCAAAATCGATTATACACATCCAAAATCAATTCTAGGTGCTACAAACGTAAAACCAAACATACACTAATGAGATTTAAGATAATACTAAGAACATACTAAACTCTAAAAACTAAAGTTCAAATCAAATAATCTAATCAGTCAATTAATTAATCAAAATCAACAACTCCATTATAAGTTTCTAATAGAAAGGGTTCAATTTCAAATAAAGCAACTGTTCATAATCACAAGAAAAAAACATCAAAAGAGGGAGATTGAAAAGTACCCATTAAAGAAGCTTCGAGCATGTGTTTAGACATAAGAATTTGATCAGTAGGGTTAACAACACCAGCTTCAATGGTACGTTGCTGGATCTTAGCCATACTATAGAGACTAGAAGAAAGCACAACAACTAATGTAGCACCAACGGTGGTAACAACGATTGGACCACGACCTCGTTTGACTCGATCGAGAGAAACGATCACGAGTTTTCTGAGCGGGGTTTTGAAAACGAGGGTTAGGATGAGAAGCATTTCGGCGAAGATCGCAGTGTAGAGTAACTGCAACATGGTGTTGTTGGAAGAAGAATGATGAATCTAGTGTATGATGAGTGTTTTAGTAGCAGAGAAAGATGAAATTGAAGAATAAGAAGAGAACAGAAGAAGCGTGTCGGTGAAGAGTTTGTTGGTTGTGCTGGTCCAATAAAGCACACCAAACCCTTTGGTTTAGGACTTTAGGTATCGTTTTTGCTTTTTCTAGATTTGTTTTTTTTTTCTTTTTTCATCAATTCAATTTTTTTTCCATTATTTTAAAAAAATCATTTTATTTATGTAAGTGGAAAAAGAAAAAAATGGAGTAACAAAATAATCTTGAAAGTAAAGTCACACTAGTTTTAGCTAATAAGAAAGTCATGAGTTTTATTGGAGACTATAAAAGATCGATACGTCATATCATTACTTACGTCAGCACAAGCATTTGTCTTTTTAGAAGTGTGAAATATTTGAATTTGTCATTCTCTACTGAGAATCCCTTTAATGTTGTGGAGAATTTCGACATAGTGATGTTAAATATTACCCGACTTTGATATAAGTTTGATAGCAGAATTGGAGTCAAAATAACACATCAAGTCTTTGATGCCAAGTTCTCAGGTCATACGCAAATCATGATATAGCGTCATCAGTTCAACGTGAAGGATGTTGGAATAACCAATATTACCCACAAAATCGTGAATCTAAGCACCATTAGCATTTCGAAACAATCCACCAAAATCTGAGACGTTGGGATTACCGATGTTACTATCATCAACATTCAAAATTATATTACTACCTTAGTGTGCATTGCATGTGATCGGTGTCATTGAACGAAACAGATTATGCTTGAGAAAATATTTAGCTAATAGATTAACATAATTCACTGTGATGAGTTTCAAAAGTATAGGAAGATATCATTTTATTAGCAAGACACAATTTGCTCGTAATGCGGCACAACCACAAGCAATCAGCCAATAAGATAGAGTCATCTTCAATGTTATGTCTAATCCAATCATATAAATTATCCCCATGGAAGAATAATGGGTCCAAGAAGCCTATAGATTTTCAAAAGCGAGTAGCAAATTCACCGTCTCTCAGGAAACGTAGAGTCGTCTCAGCATCCTGATTGCATCTAGGACAAAGATCTGTCTGGATCATACCATGATTAAACAACATTGATCTCGTAGGAAAGGACTTATGCAAAGTCGTACAAATAAAGAATTTTACCTTCTCAGGAGCATGAATATGCCACACCCACTTCCAAGAGTTATTGCCTATTGTATTCTAAATAAGTTCAATTCTATTGAGCCAGTTGTAATACCCTAATTTTTACCCCTAAGATCCTACATATCATTTGCATCTCATTCCACAAACGAGATCGCAAGCTTTGGTTCTCTTACCTTCCTCTGCATGTTTGTTCTTGAGAGATTACTGGGCACCCTTGCTTTCTTGTTTGTTTGATATTTTTTATGTTTATGTTTACTAACCATTATTCAAAATCCAAAAAATGTTTGTTTTTCCTTTACTAAATTTTTCAGAAAGAATTTGGATCAAAGATATCAAAATACCAATCCCTCAACTCGAATAAATTTCATCTGAACAAAGTCAAAGTTGATCTGCAAATAATTCAAAATCATCTGATCAAGGGTTTCCAAGATTTAATTGATAATTATTCAAGAGACTCCAAGGTTCATGTGTTTATTTTCATGCCTTCTTTGAAAAACAAAAAGAATCGAGCCAGAGTCAAGACAACATGTCAAAAAGCAATTTTCACATTTTTTTGACTGTGGTAACCGATTACCAGCATTAGGGTAATCGATTACCCTATGCACGTTTTGTGAAAATTGGCCAAATTCAAATTCTGCAGCATTTTTGGCACCAAATTCAAATGTTGCATCATGAGAATATTCTAGATCACGTCATTTTAATTTCCCTACCTCATCATAATTAATTCCCACCATACACCTTCATTAGTCACCACTTGATCATTAATTTCCCTCCAAATTCAAATTCCAACCCTAATTTTGTTTCCAAACCAAACTCCAATCCACCAAATTTCTCAAGCCTAAATCCTATAAATAGAGGCCTCATTTCATTTATTTCACAAGCTTTTGATAGCCAAATTCACCTTGTCAAATTCTTTCTTGACTCTCTCTTTTTTCTCCAACTACCAAATTCACCAAAGCTCTTTCTTCCTTTGAAAGTTAGTAAGTCCATCATTAGAACTTACTAATCTTTGAGCTAAACCTTCATCCATTCACGTTTTCATCATTAATTTCAGTAGATCAAGGATTTGGAGTGTGGTTTGTGGAGTTAATTTGAAGAATTTTCAGATTTGAAGTGGTAAAATGGTCAGCAAGCTGCATCTAATTATCAACCACGGTTCCAACTGAAAGCAGAGCAAAATGGTCAGCAAGGTCGTGTGCAGAAGAAAGTGCAATTTGATCTTATTCCGATGTCGTATGCTGAATTATTTCTGACTTTGATAAGGAAGAATTTGGTTCAGACTCGTGATTCACCGGATGTTCCTACAGATATTTCATAGGGGTATAAGCCAGAGGCCCATTGTGCATTTCATCGGGGCACCCCTGGGCATGATATCAAAAATTGTTACCCCTTGAAATATGAAGTGGCAAAGCTTGTAAAAAGTGGTATTCTGTCTTTTGAAGATACCAATTCTAATGTGCAATCAAATTCGTTGCCTAAGCATGGTAACTCGTTTGTCAATATGGTATATCGGTGTCCTGGTACATACTGTATCTTTGATATTTATTGGATTCGAAGGCCACTTATTGAGATACACGCTACTTTAAGCGAATACCATGATCTTAAGCATGATTATGCTGCTTGTTGTATTTGCTCTATGAACCCCTGTGGGTGTGTGATTGTAAAGAGGGATTTACAAAAGATGATTAATTAGAATTTGATTCAAGTTACTGCAAAGAGAAATGAAGTTGAGAATGAGGTGAATGTCATAGTTCCAGGTTTCAACATCCCTGAGCGAGTTGTAATTTCTTATAATAGTTAGAAATTTGTTGTGACACCTTTGGTCATTCATTTTCCTGGCTCGGTACCATATGCATCAGATAAAGTTGTTCCCTACAAATACAATGCTACTATGTTAGAGGATGGAAAAGAGGTTCTCATTCCTTCTCTTCCCTCAGTTGTGACTATTGCAGATGTAGGACGTGTGACCAGAAGTGGTCGAGTATTTGCCAATGTACCTTGAAGACAAGTGAAGATGATGTAGGTAAGCAAACTCATTTAAAGACTTCTATTGAATTTGGTCAATCAAGCAATGTGAATCAGAAATCAGGTAATGATGAAATGCTGAAGTTGATCAAAAAGAGTGAATATAATGTGGTGTTTCAACATTTGCATACACCGTTGTCGCTACGCGAAAAATGACACAGAGTCGCCACCGGATTTTATTTATCCCAAGGAGGGAAAGGAAAATAGCGATAAAACCTTTAGGGAAAAGAGCATGGTCATTGCAACCAAGTTTTAGGGTTCGGGAGTCGGTTATACGAAGGGAAGGTATTAGCACCCCCTCGCATCCATCGTACTCGATGGGAACCTTCTAGGTTGTTTGGCGTGAATGGGTGTTTTATTCTAAAAGTTTGCTTGCTTAAAAGAGAAAAGGGGTTGGTTTTTTATTAGAGTGCTCGCCAAGGATTGGGGCCCTTGTGCCTGTGTATATTCACTTGTAGAAGTGAAGAATCAGAGCATTCTTAGTTCAGCCGTTTGTGAAATGATTGTATGTTGATTGATTTTATACCTTGAAAGAAGGGTTTTCGAATCGATGCCCTAAGGCGAAAAGAAGTTTGATGAGTTGATGTTATTTTTAGGTTTTTGAGAAGAGATTGTTTTTTATTAGGATCACACTAAGGACTTTGGATAGAAATGAATGTTTCGAATAACCAAATCGAGTGCCTTGTATTTAAAACATTCGGAACGAGTGTAGGAGGGTTCTATTCTCATTCCTTCTCCACCACCTTAAAGTCCATGGTGTATAACCATAATCACATATTTATTGTATTTTTGGATTTTTATGAGAAAAAAGTACCTCTTGATGTTGGATCAAGGGTTTTATTATTGGTAAAAATACTTGAAGTGACGTGAACAAGGTCGATGGGGATGCACAAGGCAATCGTCTTACAAGGTTGAAAATGGCTCGATAAACCCTAAAACGAATCACAACTTCCTCCTAATGTAAAGTGTTTCTAAAATAAGAATTTTAGAATTGTTTGAGCATTATGTGAGAATACACATTAATATGAGAATTTAGAAAAAAGAATCACTCAAAAAGGATTAAAAATGACGGAGTTATGGATTTTTGAAAATTAAATGGAATTAAATTAAATCAATTGTTCAAAAATAAGAAATGCCTCACCCAAGGCTTGAACCCAAGACCTTGGGGTCATAGGCTCAAAACATAGCCAGCCCAACCACTTGATGTGTTGGAATATAGAATGAGAAAAGGAATAGAAATATTAAAAATGGCTAAAAATTAAGAGATGCCCAAAAATTGTCCTCACTGAGGATCGAACCGGTAACACGCGCATGGCAAGGTAAGTTCTTAAGGCAAGGCATTAACCACTGGGGTGGTGATACATCCATTGTATCAGGCCACCCCATGTGCATATATACCAAAAGGGCACATGGCTGGGCAAATTCAAGGCCAAAACTATGTGAAGAACATCAAAACGGTTTCGACATAACTCTCTCAATTCTCCACCAAAATTGATAAAATTTGAGTCAAACTTGCTTGATTTTTTAAGAGGAATGCAATGGTACCACCCAAATTTTGAAAACATTCACCCATACTGAAACTCGAATGAAAATGCCATGATGAACTTTGGAATGCACTTTGAAACCTCAAGTTTTAAAACAGGTGCAATTAAGGGTAAAAAAATGGTTTGAGAAACTTCCAAATATGTAAAGGAAAGAGTTCCACCAAGAAAGTTTGTTCTAAAAGCATCAAAGCAAAAAGTTGGTATGTGAATTGCCATGAAAAGCATGAGTTGCTTATGAACAAC